TGATTCATTGGCATTCTATTATATTTCTATTGTCTCACAATTCCTGACAGTCAAATTGATATTAACTGATATAATTAACTAACACATTAACATATTTTTGTATATACATATATGTAATTTATGCATGTATATGTGTACATGATCCAATCAACAATCCACTTAAGCATTGTCACAATTTCGACTTAATGAGATTTCGATATACATATATACATAAATACACTCGTACACTCATAATTACAGTGCGCACAAATTGTAATCGGCCTAATTAATATCATTTAATTAGTGAAAGTTGTAGTCACTAGAGAGTAAAATACACAATGCACACGGTCAGCACTGTGGGGGAATATACGCGGTCATGGTCTAGAGTTTCGGAGATCAGAACTGAATGCAGTTGAGTTATTTTGTGAGACACACGAATTGAACAACAGGTGATTCATCTGATTCATCATTTGACAGTTGAACCTAAAGGCGAGTTGAAAATACATTTGCCAAGCCGAACGAATCGCTGCATATAAAAGACCGGCAAAAGGAATAATAACAAAAGCAACAACAACAACAACGATGAGTGTTGTTAGTCGTGTAAAAATAAATCAGAGATGAGCGAAGTTGAAATACCCTAACGAACAAATGTTTGTCTCTTTAAAGTTTAAACTGTAGATGCCATAAACGGCCCAGCTAATCAATACTAATTCATTTTTCTCATTGACCAACACTGACAAAAGTGTGACAAGAGTTTGTCGAAATACACAACCAATTTTTATTGTACCTCGAATACATTTCCAAATTCAAGCACATCATGAGCCGAAAATGTTTCACATAAAAATAAACAATTTATTATTATTGTTAATGCTCATTATTTAAGTCTAATATTTATTGCTCATAATATTTATTTGCGCGCCATTTTTGGTATATAAACTAAAATGCCCGGTGCAAGTGTAATAAGAAGAAAAAAAAATCAAAGGCAAATAATTTCGTGTTCAAAGCGCCAAAACAGGTTTTGGCAGAGTCCACTCGCGGGCGAGCGAGAGGTGCGCGCGGCAATAAGTGAGCGGGCAGCCAACTGTTGCCATCTCGCTTGCGCAGCAGCTTAGAACAAAACGAAAAGCGGCGAACGACAACAACAACAACAACAAAGAGCGTGTCTAAGCTTTCAAATGGGAGAGTGAGAGAGAGCGAGCGAGCGAGGGAGAGAGGAAGAGTGGAAGCCAGCGAGTTAGAGCTGAGAAGGGCTGGCAGCGTTCAGCGGGAGTGTAAGAGTGAGGGGCGGCAGTTTTGAGGGGGGCGGCATGTGTGTGTGTTAGTGTGTGTGTGTGTTTTGGCCGTCACATTGCTGAGATTTTGGCCCGCATTAAGAAACGTGAAAAAAAACCTGTCGCCGTCGACGTATCTCGTTCAATGCGAAACAACAAAAAAAAACAGGTTGTTCTGTTGGCTTTTGTTGTTGCTGTTGTTGTTGTTGTTGCGTTTGCTTTGTTGTCTACAAAAATCTTGCCCAGCAGCAGCGGCAGCGGCAGCAGAAGACGCATCCAGTTTACAGATACACATATACACACACATACACACACATATACATATACATGTACACAATATGTGTGATATATAAACGACATTTAAGGCATTTTTATAGCTTTGCGTGTCTCGTTTTTGTTGTTCTTGTTATTGTTGTTGCTTTTTGCGCATTTTACTTTTAGCTTATTTTCAAGTTGAAGCACAAAGCAGCAAAAAGCCAGCCAAAAGGCAAGTGCAAAAAGGCAAAAAACACGCAGACGCAAACGTCTTTACCTTTCAATCTCTATCTATCCCACTCACTCTCTCTCTCTACCCCTCTCCCTCTCTCTCTATCACTGCCTCTCTCTTGGGCCGCGTAATTGCCGTAGCATGTAAAAGTTCTTTACTTCTTGTTATTGTAATTTGTCAGCGCTTCTGTTGCGTCGCATTGTGAAATTTGTTTTTGTTTTCTTTTTTTTTCATTTTATTTCTCTTTTTTTTTTGTAGTCAATTTGTTACGCGTGTAATGCGTTGAAGCTTAAAGCTCACCTTAAGAATGGAATGGAATTATATTAGCTAAAAGTACAATAGCCGGCGGCTTGGGGTAGCCAAACGACTTGCGTTGCGTCATGAGAATTGCATAGAAAGACACATGTATAGCGTTTAACTTATATAACAAAGTTGGAGCCTTAAATTAAGGTTAAAGCCTGCATGATTTACTTAGGAAATCATAATGCCCTACATTTATTATTATGGGTTGGCCAATTGACTTGCGTTGCGTCATGAGAATTGCATAGAAAGGCTCAAGTCAAGTGTTTAGTTTATTCTTTTAACAGCGTTTGACTCTTTAATTAAGGTCAAAGCCGGCACCTGTTAAAACGAATAAGTTACTTATGAAATCATAATGACCATCCACTCGACGTGCGTTCATTCATGAGAATTGCGAAGAAAGTCGAACATTGAGCTTATTTGACAGAGTTTGAGACTTGAATTAGGCTTAAAGCATATTTACTTATACAATCAGAATGCCCTACATTTATTATTATGGGGTAGCCAATCGACTTGCACTAATGCATGAGAATTGCATAGAAAGGCATTTTAGCCTATTTAACAGAGTTGGACACTTGAATTAAGGTGAAAGCTTGCATGATTTACCTATGAAATCACAATTCATTGGTTTTATGAATATTATTTATTTGACATTCATTTAATTTATATTATTTCAATAAAGTAATTTATTTGGAACACATTTCGTGAAACCCTAATACGTTTTTAATCATTACACAAATGTTTTTATTCGCTTGTCTTTGATATCCTTTTAAATAATTGAATAATTGAAGTGCACAAGTATTCACAGTATTCAGAAGTATGTCAATGCCTGGCACGCGATTGTCATTTGCCATTTGGCCTGAGAGGTTCCACGCCAGGAGCACCAAATGCAATAAACTTTATTAAATGTGCGAGGACAACAAGAACTGAGTACAGGGCGTGGACATGTCTCGAAGGGTAGAGACTCGTTTAGTTCTGAGTGGTAGAAGCAAAAACAATTAAATTTCCGCTCGTTGGTTGAGTTGTCCAGCTAAGCAAAGAGCCTTAATAGGCTCACAATATGCCTACACACACACACACACTCACACACACACACACACAGCTACGGCATGTGCACACACATGGATCCTTTTAATTTCCTGCTGTTATTTTTATGCACGTAGCGCAAACGCCGCGTGATTTCCATTTGCTTACATCTTGACAGGGTATGCAAGAGAGCTCAGGATCTCAGCCTTTGGGCTTGTTGTGCGCGTGCCTGTCAGTGTGTGTGTGTGTGCTGTGTGTGCTGTGCACATGTGGCATATTCCCATAAACAACACAACTGCGCCATGTGTCACATGGGGCTACGCCTCAAGCAAAGTAATCTAATAATAATATGCAGGCCAACCAAAAACCAAGCAAACCATCGACTATAGGAAATAGCTTCCGAAAAGCGCTCAAGTCCAGGTTCAGGTTCGAGTTCGAGTTCGAAAGAAAAAAAGCCTTTTACGCCATGCACTAATGACTGTCATTGAGATTGACTTCCTGTTGAGTGCCCTGTGTGTGTTCTGGGTGTGTGTGTGTGTGTGTGTGTGGAAAACCACAAAAACATATGGAGCATATTACTTAGATTGATATGCCATGCAATTAACTGGCATTCGTAGGGTATACTAGACTCTAAAAGGTCTAACATAATAGAATTATAAAAAATACTAATAAATAAATATTTAGTTGACTGGGGATTTTACTTATATTTATTATTTTAAGATAAAAACAATATATTAAAAATATCTATAGTTGAATAAAGGAATTTTAGTAATACTTATTGGATATATATTTACTAGACTCTTAAATTTCAACAAAACAAAAATATATATATAATGATGTAAAAAATAATATTGGTTATTATTTATAAAATTATTAATATAATATATATTTGAATAACAAAAAAATTAGTTATATTAATTAGCTAAATTTATATAAAAACAAAAAATGAAAGGTCAACAAAAAATTATTGAAATAAATAAATATAAAAAAAATATAAAAAAAATATATATAAAAAGTTATATAAAGAATTTTAATTTTATTTATTATTTAAAGTTAAAAAATATATAATTCATTTTATTAATGATTGATTAAATAGTTGTGATTATATTTATTAGATAAATACATACTAGACTCCTAAAGGTCAAAAATAAGTTATGAAAAATTTTTTTAGTTAATTCAAAATTATACTTATTTAAATGATATTGAGTTTTTAAATGTGAAGTTTTTCTAGTTCTTAAATATTTAGTACTTGAATGTTTTTTATAAGTTTGAAAATTATGATATTTAACAAATTAATTTTTTTGTTATTAAACAAGACTTTTCTAATTCTTGTAAAAAAAACAAAAAATATAAATTTGAAAAATAATACACATATGCATATATTTGTTAAACTTTTTATTTTTATTCTTCTTTTGGATTCGAACTGGCGACCTTCCTTCCCTAAGCCCAACATTAATATTGTTTTTAAGTTTTTCGTAAAACCGCTACAAGACAGGCAACGAATTCTTGAGCATTTTGATTGCCATTTCGGACATCTAATTCTTGACCTTTTCACTGCAATTTTGAAAATCATTTTGATTGCAATTTTAGCCAACTAACTTTTGACCATTTGAATTAAAACTTTTAGCTTTGGCAAATTTTTAAAAGTACTTTTATTAATTGATTTATTTCTTCACTTTTTATTCCTTTCTATAGATTCTCAAACTTACGCTAAGAACTTTTCGTGTTATTTTAAAAACAAAAAAGTTTTTACGTTTGTTTTTGAAAAGTTCTCGAGAAGTTCTTAAAGTTGCAGGATATTTGCTGGTATATCAATTGATTTGCTTGTGCTGCGCCATCTGGCTGGCAAGCACACGAGACATGTCAAAAATGTTGACAGCCAAAAACTCTAGGCCTTAACAAACTATATGTCCAAGTAGCTTATGAAGTTTGATCGAATGCCAAGAAAAAATATTGCCGAAAAGTTTCTCAAAAAAAAAAAAAGAGAAAGAAAAAAACCACTCGAAATTCAGCAGAATCAAACCGAAACGACATCAACAGAGTTGACCTCGTTTCTCGAGCTTTTTTATTTTTTGGTAAGCGAACTTTTGTTTTTGTTTGCAGTTTCTCAGCTTCTTCTTCTTCTACTTGTTCTGCGGTCGCTCTCTGAAAGTCTGTGCAAACACACGTGCCCAAAAAACCACATGGAGCTACTTACATATATGCATATACATACATACATATATAGACATACCTACATATCGACATATATCTCCTATATAGGCACATATATCTGGCCCCGCCATGGCTTACAGACAGACTTAACGGTTATTTTCGTGTGCGTCTCTGGTTATAAACACATAAAAAATAACCCAAACGTAAGAAAAGAAAAAAAAACCCGAAACTGGTTGCGCTTTACTTTTCCGCGAATTTCAGTTTTATATTTCCTTTTTTTTTGGCATACCCTTCTAAAGGTTAGTATGATATGGTCAAGCAGTTTGTAACGCTTAGAAGAAGACGTCGCCGAAGCTTCGGAACATCGGATAATAAGATATATGATATAGCTCTAGAGGAAGAAACAGTCGAAGAAAAGGTTTCTTTTTGAGGGTTTTATTTGTAGTAATCTTTTTTTGAATACCCTATATTATCTTTTATTGACATTTATCTTCATTATCTTTTACTTTCATCATATTTTATTTGTATTATTTGCTTTATGGTTATAATAAAAGTTTCATTAAGGGGAATTAGCACCAATTCCGCAAGAGTAGTTAAACTTCGGCTTGTTTATTCATTTCTTCTTTATTTTGTTTTTATTTCTTGCAGCTTTGCTGATTTGGTTAAACATGAAAAATGGTGCCACTCAATTGACACACATCCAATTCTCCAATACATCCAATATTCCAGCCACACACGCGTCGAACAGGTACTTCAAAGTGTCGCAGCAACAGGTTGAACTCATAGAATTTTGTTGCCCTTCGAGCAATTGTCAAAGTTTGACAACAGCTGCGACAGCATTTGACATTTTATTGTTTATTATGACGCATTTCTTTCTTTAGCTTTTTATTGGCATCATCACATTACAGCAACTGGCCTTTTTAATGCGGCTTTTGATTATGGCATCGAGGAATCTGTGCATTGCCATAAAAGCATAAAATCATAAAATCATTTACATGTAAGTCCTTTCCCCTCCTCATTGGGCAAATTTTAGCCCCAAACCAATTAACAATGAAAACAAGTTAATGTAAAATGAGGAAATCAACTTTGAACAATGCGACGACAGTTGGAATACCCTAAAGGTGCTTATATAGAAAGCGGGAAGAAGATAGGGCTTTGCGAATATATATGATTTATAAAATATAAATACATATATTATTTTGAATATTTTTTTATAAATTTAAAATTATTAATTTATTTTTGTATATTTGTAATTTTAAATATTTATTTAACATTTGAATTTTTTTTTTTATAAATTTAATTTTTTTTTTTAATTTTTTATTATTATTTTCTTATATATATTGAATATTTTAAATATTTATACAAAATTTTAAATATTTGTATATAATTTATTGTGGATTCTCATGTAAAAATATATTTATCGACTACAAAATTTTTTTTATAAATTTCAATTTATTATTATGTATACTTTTTTTTTTTAATTTATAATTTTTAATATTTATATTATATGTAATCAACTGTAATAGATATCAAATGGTTATATTCGTTATAAAGTCGGATATACATTCTGTTTCTCTCCAATCAATACTTAATTAATTTCTAATTCCAAGCTCACATTTTAATATATCTATTAGCTCTTCTTCCACGCAAAGTTTCCAATTTGCAAGGAAAAAAAGAACTTTATTAAGCCCTCATGCCTGAGCATAAACAAACTTTTTAATGGTCAACTGATGTATCCAGGCCAAGTCTCGAGCAAACAAACGAAAAGGAAAATAAAAATGAAAATAGGAAAGAGACAACTTAAAAAACAGATTTATGGCCAAGCTATGTGCGCAATTTTCGGCTTTTCATTAAAAGGAGGAGCCAAAAAAAAGAAAACGAAGAGCACTTAATTGCCAGAAATGTTGTGACAGGGCACGCGTTTGGATTAACGCGTATAAAAAACGAATGTTGACGGGCAAAAAAACAGATGAAAAAAAAACGGAATATTACTCAAAGACAGAGCCAATATTTATTCAAGTTCTTTGCACTGACACAAATTATGCGAAAGCAATAGAATCGAATGGAAACATCAAGAGGGCGCACAAACTAGCGGTATCTTAATGTCAAAAAATATATACAAAAAAACAACAACAACAACTGGCGGCAACCTTGAGGCAAAAACAACGAAACTAACAATAAATAAAAATATATGTGTAAAAACGAAAAAAAAAAAACCAATACTAAAAACCAGCCAAAAGGCAAACGCTCAAAATGCGCTTGAATCATTTCCTTTTCCGGTTTCGTCGCGTTTCTTTTTCAGCTCATTTTTCTTATATACAATTTTTGTATAATTTTTATTCATTCATTTTGGCTGACCTTTTGGAAAGTTCTAACAGAAACCGATTAATATTTCGGCGCAAGTTTATTGAAAGTAAAACCTATAACAAGATATTTATTTGCTCAGCTAATTCAAGTTGGGATTATGTTTATCTATTTAACATGCATGTAAACATTTGTAATGAAGCTTTAATCCCCAGAAGAAGTAGTTTGTTAAATATGTTGTTTATTATGCATGTTAAAATTTACAATGATGCTTGTAAGTAGTTGTGTTGCAAATGTAATTATTTTGTTTTGTTATTCTGTTTAACATGCATGTTAAAATTTGCAAATGAAGCTTATATTGCAAATGGAAGTTCTTTTGTTTAATAGCCAATGAAAATAGGTTATTGAAAATGTTGTTTGACCAGCATGTAAAATGGTCTTAAAGCCTGTTCAATAAAGCTTGTATTACAAATGGAACTATTATTTTCAATCTAGTTAACATGCATGTTAATGTGTCTATGCAATTGTGACTAGTTTATTGTGGGTAAAAGCGAACCGAACGTATTTTGTACTGTTCATTACATAGATTTAGATAGATTAGATTTAATCTTCCTTGCAACTAAGTTATTTTTGATTATATTATGTTTTAATTTAACATCTCTTTTGACTTTTCATACACAATTTCGACGAGTTTTTCATCTATTTAAATAAACTCACATTTTTTGTTTTATGATCAGTTGGATCTGTAGCAAAAGTATCACAGTACTTGACCTTGAGTTGAGTTTTTTGTATAACAGCTACGCCTAAAATGTATCTGGCAGTTGTTAAACAAAATGTATAATTAATTCATTGAAAAACAATAACGATCAACATTTAGGCATGAGTCACAATAAAAATATTCAGGTTTTTTTGCATTTATTTTGTATTTAATTTAGCTGAGGTCATTAGCTTTTGTGGTTAAAAAAGGGGGTTTAGTGTTGATAATCAAAGAAAAAGCTAAGAAGAACTTGAAGTTATCTAGATTTTGTAGATCTAGAAGCTGGTTGATTACATTAAAACCAAAGAAAGTCATCTGCATGCGAATTCCAGCTAGAAGATTGGCTGCAGTTGTGTAGAAACAAACTTTTGAGCATATTTTTTTTTACCAGTTATCAACAGATGTCATGCTAACAGCTAACATGAAGATAATCGGAGCATATTCACATAATAACTAAACATATTTTCAGTATATTTTCATTTATGGTATGCGAGTGTTAAATGTGGAAACTGTGGAAAGTCCGTGGTAATTGTCTGCGAAAGTGTTGACAGCCAGTTGCAGTTTTTTTCTTTGCTTGATCTTTTTTATTTTATTTTTTTTTTAATGTGAATTGAGCAATGTGAAAGCGTTGCAATGAAACTCGTTTCAAGCGCCGCTTTTATGGCCAGACTTTGCTAATTAATGCCACACACACACACACACGCAGTCAGAGTTGCAGCAGAAGTTGCTCTGGTTTTTCCAGCGCCAGATAAAAGAAGAAGCTGCAGACGCAAATGTTGGCTGCACAATGCATGTCCAGACAGAGAGAGAACAGAAACAAACGCACACACAGACACACACACAGACACACACACACACACACACACACACACACACACACACACACACGCACAACGCACTCACACACAGGTAGTCACAGGAAACAACTGAACCAACTGACAAGATAAAACGCACAATGAATCCAACAGAAAATAAAGGGAACCTGTTTGATGCGCTTCGCAATTGTTGAAATTTATCCCTCGCTTGGTAATTTTTCCTAAGGGTGTTTCGCAGCGCTATGAAATCTGGTTGAACCTGTGACTCATGACTCATGACCCAGTCCGTCCGTCCGTCCGTCAGTTAGTTTGTCAGTCGGTCAGTTAGTCAATCGGTCTGTCAAGATTGATGCTGCGTCTAGAAATTGACTTATCGATTGACCCCGAGCAGGTGTCTGATTGCTTTCTTGTCACAAATGCAGGTCAATTTGTCGACTAGGAAATGTTGATAGTAAAGTGATTCAAGGTTTAAGCTATTAAGGCTTGCTATAAAAATATTATAGCACAATGTAGACTTGCATTTGCTAAATATAATAATATGCCACGACTATTATAGCGAATCGATCTTTTATAGCAAATATTTGTAGCTATTTAAAGCGTTCTTTGATGTTGCTATAAACTTGAGGTTGCTATAAACTTTTATAGCACGCTTCAAATATGCACAATAAAAAAGTTTTAACGTCCCATAACATGTTTTATAAATTATAGCAAGTATTACGTTAAGCGCAATACATAATTATTAACACCTTAAGCTTTTCCAAGCCTTGCAAGTCCGTTCAACTGGCCAAAATAGTTGCTATAACTTTATGGCAAGTCGCATTTTAGGCATAGAAATGCGCAAAAATAAAACAAAACAAAAAAGTAACTGCCCGAGGGATCGCTCCGACGAGCAAGCCCGCACATTAGACACAAACACACACACACACACACACACACACACATGATAATCATAGACAAACAACTTATAGACATATACATATTTTTATATAGCACAACTTGAAGGCGGGCCCATTAAAACCAGAAGCTTGTCAATGCATGTGACGAGCTGAGAAGAGGCAAACACTTTGGAATGCGCGCCTAGAGCAGTACACACGTGTACATATAAATATATACACTCACACACATGTATGCATATGGGCTATATATTTGCATAAAATGGCATTAAAATTTGCCATTTTGCCAACTTTAATGTACCATAAAACAAACAGCAAGCGACGCCAAGTAACTTTTTTCTTCTTTATGGCTGTGAAGAGAAAGAAATAGAAGAAGAAGCAGAACAAACTTGCAGACAGGTTGCGCAGCAGACCCTGAAAGTGGAGCTGCTGCTGCTTCTTCTTCTTCGTCTTCATAGGGGGCGTAGGGTCTGTTCAAATTAATTGCGACTCGCCCAAACTAATGCGAGTTGGTTAATGTGGCTTTTTGGCTCATTAGGCGCCTGGAATTAGGCAATGCGAAAGCAAAGCACGGCCACATTTTCAAATGTGACCGCAGTATAATTGAAAATAATAAAAAAAAAAGACTGCGTCTAGGCAATAAAACAAAAGATACACTGGCAGAAAAAGGCTAAGGTTAAGCCGAATGAAAGTTCGGAATATTTCGCAGGGATATGTTCTTCTTACTAAAATCAAGTAATACTTTAACTACGTTAATAAAACAGACCACAAATTCAAAAAAAATTACAAGTAATAAACTTTACAACGTTACAAACAACTTGAACCAAGAACTCGCAACTTGAAAAGAACTTGAAATAAGCAAAAGAATGTTTGCAACTCAAGTTCTAGTGAGAACATTTTGATTTCTTAAACGAAATGGTTTAGATTGAAAACTTTTCTTTTAACTTGAGCAAAACGTGTCTACATTTCGATCACATTTCTTTTCTCCAAGTGCACATGACATCAAAACAGACAAAGCAAAGTACACTGAAAAAGATTGCAGGCAAAAACTAACGACACGCGCCGCAGCAAAACAATTAGTGTGAGAATCGTGTTCATCGTCCTGTGGAAATATCATTATCAACATGTACATTATTAGGCTTTTGGTGTCCTGCATAGCTTGAGCTATTATTGATAGGACGCTTAAATGTTCTGCTTGTTTTTCCATTTTTATGTTTTCCATTTTCTCCCCCTTCTAGTCGGTAGATGCGACGCGTCCATTTTGAATCATATCACATTTCCATTGTGGGTAAAGCACGATAAATGAAAGCACAGACATATACTATTACGAATCATAGTCCTGTGTTCTGTTTAATTAAGTAGAGCACTTTAAGCGTGAA